GTGGGTGAGTGGGTGTGAGAGTGAGTGAGTGTGAGAGTGAGAGTGAGTGTGAGAGTGAGAGTGAGAGTGAGAGTAGGAGTGGGAGTGAGAGTGAGAGTGAGAGTGTGAGAGTGAGAGTGAGAGTGAGAGTGAGTGAATGAGAGTGAGAGTGTGAGTGTGAGTGAGTGAGAGTGAAGGTTGGCGCGAGTGAGTGTGGGTCCGAGTGAGTGAGCGAGTATGAGTGCGAGTGAGTGTGAGTGTGGGTGAGTGAGTGAGAGCGAGTGAGAGTCTGCGAGTGTGAGTGTGAGTGAGTGTGGGTGAGAGTGAGTGTGAGGGAGAGTGAGAGTGACTGTGAGTATGAGTGAGACTGAAGGTGAGTGAGAGTGAGAGTGAGAGTGAGAGTGAGAGTTGGCGCGAGTGAGTGTGGGCGAGGGTGAATGAGCGAGTGTGAGTGAGAGTGAGTGTGAGAGTGAGTGTGGGTGAGTGAGTGAGAGCGAGTGAGAGTCTGCGTGGGTGTGAGTGTGAGGAGTGTGGCTGTGAGTGGGAGTGACAGAGTGAGTGTGAGTGCGAGTGTGTGAGAGTGAGAGTGTGAGGTGAGAGAGTGACCATCTGAGAGCACAAAGTACTTCGCCTGCCACGAAATCTGCACTTCGAAGTTCACCAAGCGCTGTGCCTGCCACAAAATCTGCACTTCGAGGTTCACCATGCGCTGTGCTTGCCAGGAAATATGCACTTCGAGGTTCACAAAGTGCTGTGCCTGCCACGAAATCTGCACTTCGAGGTTCGCCAAGTGCTGCACCTGAAGTTCCCAAAGTGCTGTGCCTGCCACGAAATCTGCACTTCGAGGTTCACATGCTGTACCTGTCACGAAATCTGCACTTCGAGGTCCACCAAGTGCTGCACCTGCCGCGAAATCTGCACTTGTAGGTTCACCAAGTGCTGCGCCTGCCACGAAATCTGCACTTCGAGGTTCACAAAGTGCTGTACCTGTCACGAAATCTGCTATTCGAGGTTCACCAAGTGCTGCGCCTGCCACGAAATCTGCACTTCGATGTTCACCAAGTGCTGTGCCTGCCACGAAATCTGCTAACGAGCCACATGTCCAAAAGTCACGATTCACTGCACCTGTCACGAAATCTGAGCTCCTCGACGATCACCACCATGTCCAAAGTGCTGCGCCTGCCACGAAAACTGCATTTCCAAGCGAAACACCTCCGACCCCTTGCACCTGTCACGAAAAGTCGACTTTGGAGCACCAAAACACGAGGATTCCTTTGCGCCTGCCACGAAAAGTGACCACCATGTGCGAAAATGTGCATGGCACCACAATGAGAGCGCAGTCGCCTGAAGCACCCGCCGCGGACACCCAGATTCAGCGAGCCTGTGCAGTCGAAGTGCACATGTACGACGTCGAGAGTCATCAATGTATTGTAAATAGCAGCGAATTGGCCGGACACGCCCACGCGGAACAGCGATCTAAGCACACCTTCCTTTCACCTACCGTAAGAACCCCTGAGTGTGTCCACACTGTTTGGGGAAAAAAACTTTTGATTTTCAAAAAGTTGCACAACTTTTCATACAGACCAAGAAGATTCCAACAACCATTGATTTGATGGTCTTTACCGAACAACCCTCCCTTTCCTAAGCATTTTAGACTGCAACGCCATGTCAACCATGGTTTTCATGGTTTTCATAGTCTTTGAAGACTAGGGGGGCTGAACCATCGTTCCGTTGTCCGGGCAGGCCGCGGTGGGGAACCCGAGCTAAAGGCCGAGGGCCCTCCGCGGCCAAGGCCCTGCGGACGGAACTTGTGTTCCTCTAGCTCCGGAGGGGCCCAGTCCTTCGTCACCCGGCGGAACGGATGTGCATGCGAACGCTTCAGTACAGCTTGAAGCTAGCCTTCGGATCGTGCGAGAGCTCCGGGACTGGTTGAGCCAAAAAGCAGCCGCACAGTAGTCTGAGGGCACTGGACTGGTTTGGTCTTCAATTCAAGTTGACTCACCGGTCCGAGGAGCTTTCCGCGCAGATGTTGCCAGGTTGCGAAGAAATGAGGCCATGCACTTCCGAGCGCACCTTTGGTAGATGTCCCTTCCGAAGTGTGCGACAGAGAATGCAGAGAGTTTAGGGGCCGACCTACCAGAACGAGTGGTTCGTGATTCGGCAAGAGCTAGGAGAGCTGTGCGTCGCCACATCTTCCCGCCGACTCAAACAGGAATGCACTGGCTGAGTCGACCGTGTAGCAACGAGCCATGGTTCCTTCGGGTGACGTACCTGTGAGGCTTGAGACCCGTTTGCGTCATCGACCTCGATCGGTGTCTCACCTCTTGGGACTGGTGCCTTCCAGTGCGAAAGCGAGGGGCTGGCGGTTTCCTACGTGTTCACACGTTTCGCTTGGCCTCAAAAACCCATGGAAATCGAGGCCCATCCTTGAGCAGTTCGACCCCTCTCTGCCGATCAAGGCGCGAAAAGCCTGGAGGGATTAGTTCTTTTTCTTCAAAGGAAGATTGCTTGAGCCAGTGACGAAGAGACTGAAACCGGTTTCTTGCAGGATTTGGAGGGAATTACCCGCTATTTCGAGTCTGTGAAAGGCCTCGAGGCCTTTGCAGACCAGCCAAAGATAGAAACACATACCGCTAGAAGCCCAACGACGATATATTTCCCAGCAGTAGTAGTAAAGGAAGTTTCGAATTAGGTCCCCTACAGACAATTCCTCTTAGAGTCTTTGACCGGTACTTGAGGGGAAGTCGATTCGCTTCACCCCAACGTTGATCAGCGCCCAATGTCCCAACGTCAACTGAAATGAAACTCCACCTGGAATTTCGTGTCGTACTGCAATTCGGGTGGGTCAGACGAAGGAGATTCGGTGGTCGTGTCAGACTTCCAAAAGCGGCTGTCTGCAGATGCCCGCTTATTCCAGCAGCCTCCAGGTCAAAGAGGTCGAACCTGTAAGCCTTTGACATTTTTGACCATCAAACAAGACCTGGACTTTTAGGCTTCCGAAACATCGTCTTTCGTAAGAGGAAGCATCGGTGCTTCGTAAGCCGGAGGAGATTTTGGAAGTTGATCCTCTCCCAGAGAGGAAGGGCGAAGCTGACGAGGAGACAATCATGCGGCACCTGTTTGGAAGACTGGGTGTTTCATGCATTTTCAAGCCAATTTTGTTAGATTGCATGTCCTTCTCCAGAAGCGCGCCCGGGTCCGACCCGTCCTGGCGGCCAGGAGGTCTTTTCACCGGAGCCGCCCATGGTCCATTTCAGATTTACTTTCTATGACACCCCGGCTCCGCTCGTCCCGGTCCGCGTGACCGAGTGCCAAAGCATTCCAGGCATCAAAGAGTGGTTGCTCATGGTAGGCTACGTGATGATGGTAGGGTGTTGGAGGAACCCGGGCTGCGAGATCGAACACGAGGACAGACGTGTGTAGAAGTCTACAGTAACTGGTTGTTCCAATGGTCCATCATCAATTGAGATGCTTTAGCATCGCTGGCTGTTCTGCCAGCTTTTCTGATTGAATTCACTTTTGTTTTCTTTGTGCGTGCCCACCCATTCCTGGTTGATGTTGCACTTCTCTGGTGGCGCTGCTCCAGGGCCTTGAACGGCGTGAACCTGGCGACGGCCTTCCATCGGCTCGCGCGGGAGGCGGATGCGAAGCAGGTCGTGGAAGCCCCAGACTTCGTCCTGATGCTGGACCCGAGAAATCCAACGCCAGGAGCGCCTTTCTTTCCTTCCTAAATGCATGTGCTGCATGTTTATGCCCCAAGCAGTGTGTCCACACTAGGGGTTCTTACGGCAGGTGTTTAGGACGCTAAGTCGCTGCTATTTACAGTACATTCATTGACCTCGAGATCTTGGAAGTCAATTTTCAACTGCGGGTGCTGTTCGAGACAGCGCTCTCGACGTGGTGCCGTGCGCATTTTTGGACTTGGTGCTCACTTTTCGTGGCAGGTGCAGGGAACCCCATGCGTGTTTTGGTCCAAGGCGGACTTGTCGTGACAGTTCCAGGAGATCGGAGCGGTTTTACGTCGATGTGCAGATTTCGTGGCAGACGCAGTGCTGCGGACATGGTGGTGGTCTCTGATTTCGTGACGGGCGCAGTGCAGTGAACCGTGGCCGGGGGAGGTCTCGAGGGAAAGCTGCGTTATGGCATTTTGGTGTTGTGTTTGGAAGAGCTCTTGCTGCGAAACGCCTTGGCAGGGCTGCGCGCGTGAATCTTGATGCGCAGATTTCGTGGCAGGCGCAGCACTTTGTGGCAGACTTGGTGGCAGGCGCAGCAGGCGAACGAAGTGAGTTTCAGGGGGGCAGTCCAAAAAAAGCTCGGTTGTGGAAGGGTGAGCCCAGAGCCTGCTGAGGGAGAGCGAAGCAATCAAAACTGAGGGCCATGACGATGTTGGTGATGCGAGTGATGCTGCGACGGTTGATGTTGGTGTGTTTTTGCATCATCAACTGGGAGGGATGGCATTTTTTCTTTGGAGTGTTTTGGAAAAAGTGGGTAGCACCAAGGTTCTATGGCCGAGCAAGAAGATTGGGTTCTTGCGAGGGGCCCCTGACAAAGAGGGGGGCAGCAACAATGGCCTTTGCCGATGCAGGAAGCCGCTTTTCTGGGTTGGTGTCCTTTTGTGGTGTGCTTGAGGGCCGTCTCGAGGCAAAAAGGGCAAGCTTGTGCCAGCCTCCCAATCGGAGCAGACCTGAAAAAGAGGAGGGCCATTTTGGTGCAAAAAAGAGTACTTCCGAAAAGCGGGTTCTAGTAAGAAGGCCTTTGGCAAACAGCAGCGCGTGGCCTGGCTAGAACGAATTGTCGGTGCAGGTATGTAAAGACATTTTACAGAGATCAGATGCAGAGCCGAAGAAGAGCACTGAAGCCCCATTTCTTGGTTGGTGCGTCGGTGTTGTGTTTGAACGCCGCCTCGGGGCAAAAAAGGGCACATCTGAGAAAGATGCCCTTGTGCGCTTTGTTTGACGGCTGTTTGGGGTAGAGCAGGCCACTCCCAACAAGCAAGCTCTAGCGACAAGACCTTGGACAAAGCAGGCCATGGCAGGTGCACTGCGGAGTTTTTGTCAGGAAGTCTCTGGTTGAATGCGCTCAACTTTCTGTGTGCTGCAGGATGGCAGCCTGCCTCCCAACTGCTGCACTGTAATCTGTTGGTCCGCCACGTTGGGAGCCTTTCGTGAAGCCTTGTTCTCCAGCTTGGCCCACATTGCCGCGGGACATTTGGACGCCTGTCAGGGCTATGAGGTAGGGAGCTCAGCTTGGTGAGGGTGCATGAAAGAGCCGTTGGATGATGCATGATGTCAAGAAACAGTGGTTTATTCCTCCTTAAGACCCCACCAGCAGGTGTTCCAGGACCTCTCAAAGTTTGTGTAGCTGGACCCACCTTCAGGTCACCAACATGCTGTGGGCCTTCTCACAGCTACACTAGTTTCAGCCGCAGATGGCCATCAACTTGCCGCCTGCCAAGCGCAACAGCATGGTGAGTCATGTGCGGGATGTGGGACGGAGGTGTCGGGAATTTGCCTGAATAGGTGTACCGTATACGTACATACCTACATACTCACATATATGCATACATACATACGTACGTACGTACGTATACTTACATACATACAGACAGACAGACAGACATACATACATACATGCGTATTTGGGAACCTCCCAGTGAGTTTGTTTCCAATGACATGTGGGTGGAGGTTGGGGGACGATGGACGGTGTCGTTTGTGTCAGAATTTGTGAAGCATTTGACGTGCTTGGAGGGAACGGGCAGAAGAACTTATTTTAGTGATTCCGAAGTTCCATGTTAGGATCAGGTTCATGCTGTTTTCAGTGCCCACCCTCCCAACCCCCCTGGTCTCCTTCCATGTACCCATGTGCAAGATGACTTTGCTTTGCTTTCCACAATGCCGCCCACGCGCTAGATATTTTGCATCATGGCCTGCTGCTGCGGCCGCTTGTTAAGACATTGTTATCCACGAAGTCAGAGAACCCGGCAGCCGGCAGAAGTTGTTTTATACCTATTGTTCCTTTGCCTCTTTGGGCACGATGGCTCTTGCCATTGCTTCCAGTGCGGCAGGATTGGTCAAGACGGAAGTCGCTGAACCGACCCCAAAAGGCTGTAGGCTTCACGCTTTTCTACTGCGCTCACTACTGACCATGATCGAGAACACTGCGACTGATGTTTGGTCGCCTTGGCGGCTGCAATGGATGATGATAGTACTCCAGAACGCCGCGAGTTGATGGAGTGTGACACAAGATGTCATAAACCAGCCAATCTCGTAATAAGGAGAACATCTTTAGCTCGCTTGGTGAGATTTCGTGAGTTCATTGTTGATTGACATAATTAGATGGAAGACCAAAATCAAAACAAGCAAACAAAAACAACCAACCAACCACACAGACAAACAAACGTGCATACATACATAGATAGACACATACGTACATACATACGTACATACATACATACATACATACATACACACGTACATACATAAATCCAGACAGGCGCGCGCATACATACATGCATACTTACACAAAAGCCTGCGCGCATACATCCATACTTGCATACAGAGAGACATACATACATGCATGCATGCGTGCACGCATACATACATACATACATACATGGCCCAAGCCGTTTGAGGTCTCATCAAATCCAGGCACAGGACCGTTTTTGCCTAGCCTGGAGGTCATCCTTGGCACTGGACGATCTTTGCTCGCTATCCAGGTCTACAGCTCTACGGCGCCTGGCAGTGCTCGCTTGGCTATAAGCTGGAGAACCTCACAGTCACTGGACCTATCTCTCTGAACCTCTCTACGGCCAGACCGAAGAGCGTGCCACATACCTTGCCCACTTGACCGCCGGCTTTGGAGGTTTCAGACCTATGACTCCATCCATGACACCAACCTGGTGCAGAGCATATACAACCTGCAGCCACAGTTCCTGCCGGAACTGGATCTGGAACGACAAAATACAACCAGGCACGAGATGTCGAAGGTGTGGAACCTGGTGGCCCAATGTCACCAAAGCCACGGGTAAAGGGAAAGGACAAGGCCATGGTGCGACTCCGCAAACCTCTCCTGGATCAATGGCACCACCAGCGCCTGATCACAGGACTCGACTGGCGTGTATACCACCAGCAGATCAAACAGCTTCGACCATGGTCGACCATAGGTACAGACCGAAGAAGCTGAACGGGTGGTGCCTTCCAGCAGACCTACGGACCCATCTCAAAACATGGGTACAAGGTGCCGTCCAATATCGAGACAATGGACAAGCCAAACAGTGCCCAATATGCCATGTGCCAGCCGCACCGAAACACATCCTGTGGCTATGTAAGTGGCATCACGGACAAGGCCACAAACCTATGCCACCGGACTGGGCAGAGAGAATCACCCATCATGACGAAGAACCACTATGGAATGCGGGCTGGATTCCACTTGAACCACAAGAGCAACTCCAGGTCGAGCATCCATACCAAGGGCATGGCGCCTGGCAAGACCTTCAAGCCCTGGCGCCCCACCAGCATCAGGGCTGGGCCTTCACCCTGGATGCTACGCCCTCAACCTATGACCAACGCAGCCAGGTCTGGTCTGTGGGCTATGTGTGCATACCATGAGTTTGGGACAACTCCAACGACTACAAGCTACCACGTTCATTCCCAGCAGCCCACAGAACAAGACCAGAGCCCTACTGGCAGGTCTGGTTGCATTGGCCAAGCATACCCTCACACCTGTGAAGGTCATTGTCCAAGTCACCGCTGTTTGGGAAGTATGGACACAACCAAGACACCGGCAACCCTACATGGACCTGCTTGAAGATCTCACAGACCAAGATCTTCAAAGGGTGACAGTCTTGTATGTCAGCCGAAATACTCGCACGCCCAAGGCCTCGGGCAATGAACCTAATCTCAGGAAAAGACAACGTGATGCTCCCTTTTCGCTTGCGAGCGAGCAAACGCCCTGCGCAACCGTCAGACCACTGAATGGCAGCAGGTCTTGGACCATGATCGCACCGCCATCTACAAGCGTGCAGTTGCCAGACTTGCCAAGGTCTACGCAGCAAAAGATCACTACGCACATCAAAAAGTGCCCAGACATCAAGGCAGGCAGACCAAGCAGCGCAAAAAGCATTTGGTCATGCAATGCCACAAGCCTTGGATTGCACTCCATCACAGCTAGGAACCACACCACAGTGGGTTTCATTGCAGTGCCTCTGGCATCCGACTGCATCAAGCACTCACGGTGCAGGTCATTGAAGAGAGACTTGGACAACAATGTCCGCTCCTGCGCATTGGCAAGATCCAACCCGATCAGCATAGCCCGCGCAAACCACTACCCAAGAAGCTCACCAGAGCTCAAGTGATTACCAATCTACTTGACCAACAGCGGATGCAACCACCGGCCAAGGCAAGCCATGTTCTCGAAGAGACAAAAGGCCACTTGAGATGTGGCAAGTGCGGATGCAGTGTCCACAAGAGAACCAATGAGACTACCTTTCAAGCTTTCGCCCAGGGGTCTTGCGTCGACCAGGCCTATGACAAACCTCATGAGGGCCATGCCAGCCATCAGCTATGGCAGAAGGGAAAGAAGGTGTCATGCAGAAACTGTGCGGTATCCAACTAGACCTGGACTCCTGGCTGAAATCTTCAGGCGGCAAGCAGAGCAGGCCAGTCAGACAACAAACACGGCTCTGGAACAGGACACAAGTGCAGCCAGACACAAAGACCTCACACACTGTTGGAACAGGGCCAACAGAAGGCCATGCTACCCAGCCTTCCTTGGTGACTCCAACGAAGACACCTCGCAGGCATCTTTGGCTCACCACTGGCGCCCAAAAAGCGCACCTTCAGTGAGCCAGCAAGGTCACCTAATGAACTGCGCCGCAGAACACCCTTTCAGGCTTTGGCAGCACAAGACCGGAAGGGGCAGCCCAAACAGTGGACGAAGAACCCGAGTCTCCTGAAGAGGAAGACGCAACCGACGACGAAGCAGTGGCAATGGTGGACGCGAACTTCTACTTGTAGACCAGGCCTTTATTTTTTTTGCAGCCCCATGAAGAAAACAAACTCCGTGGCCTAGTGGCGCCACCAGCCATGATTGTCATTGCTTGTCTTTGTGAGCATGATGTTGATAAAGTGCGGCGAATGTGCCCGCAGTGTGCTGGCCTCGAGTGCTAGGAGTGCCTAGATGGTTCTCGTGTGCCTGATGGTTTGACCACACTGGCCTCATGCCCTTCAACCACTGGCGGCCTGCTGCGGCCAAAGAGCCAGACCGTTCTTGCAGTAAAAGACTTTAGGAGAAAAAACAAACAAGCATACATACGTACATACATACAAACAAACAAACAAACACACAAACATACAAACATACATACATGCATGCATGCACACATACATACATACATACATACATACATACACACATACATACATACATACATACATACGCCAGCGTCTTCGTTGGTCGCTGACAGCGCGAATCCCCAGCGACCCCCCTGCTGTGTAAACAAAGCTCTTGGAAACAGAGTTGGGCACACACACACAGAGTGCCGTACTCGGCGCCGGAAGAAGGCACTGAATAGACTCGACAAAAAACCTGAGCTACAACCTGACAAGCCTCCTAGGAGAAACGAAAGCGAGAGAAGAGCAAGAGCAAAAGGAAAGAGTGAAAGAACTCTATGCAGCGAAGCGGGCTCTGTACTCAGTTCGCTCGGCAATTAGACCTGATTTACAACCAAACAAGCCCCTAGAAGAAACGCAAGCGAGAGAAGTGCAAAAGCAAAAAGAAGGAGTAACAAAAACTCTGCACAGTGAATTGGACTCAGTGCTCAGTTCGCTCACCAAAAACTTGATTTACAACGTAACAAGCCTTTAGAGAGAACGAAAGCGAGAGAAGAGCAAGAGCAAAAGGAAGGAGGGAAAATCAGCCGTTGCAATTGGAAACTGCATGGAACTCAGCAAGTAGATACATGGTGAGATTGTGTCATAAGGTTTCTGTGAACTCGGCAGTCTTGGTTCAGGTGGTTCTGAAAGTGATAGATCAGGAAGATGGCTCGCGGCACACAGCAGCTCTTCAGGAAGTTTCAGGCATGAGTACGGCGCCGCTTGCGGGGATCACACCGCACACCCAAGTGGGAAGATGCAGCTGGTCACACTTAGACTCGTAGCTCAAGTGAATGGGCATTAAGTTCAGAGAAAGGTTCAATGACGGGTCAGCCCTTGACTGTCTAGTTACCGCAGAAACGAGCCCGGCTGACCTGGCAATGGCCCTGTGCTCAACAGAATGGTGGAAAGTCGAGAACAATATGGTTAAAATCAGTGCTGCAAAAACGGGTGTGGCCACCAGCTGCGTCTGACAATGCGCCCAGGCGCGCCAATGCAGGTACGTTTTCACAGGAAACGCGCAACGTTTTCATTGGTCGCTGACTGCGCGACTCCCCAGCGACCCCCAGTTGAACATACATACATACATACATACATACATACATCGTATGTTTACATGCGCACCTGGGGTTGCAACTGTATGCACGCCTAGAACCTGAGCGACCCCTGTTTTGACCAAGCACCTTCCAAAATACAGACTTTGCTGCTTAAAGCATGGAGCACCAACCCAGGTATATGTAGGTAAGCTTGGTTCCGCGGAAACTTGGCGCTTTGGCCTTAAGAGCGGCCGCGAAAACCGAACCAAATTGCCGAGTTGTTGGTCACTCGGGCATGTTTTCGAGGCAAGGGGACCTGCAGAATTTTCTTGATGCAGTGATGCACTTGTTCCTCAATCGGGGCCTGGGCAAGATGAAAGATCAAATTTTGATCTCCGCGCTTCTTTCGGTTGTGCCTCGGCGTCCGGCCAGACGGCCAGGTGAAAATAAGATTGAAGGTCTCGAAAAACTAACGCTGGAGGGTGATGGGGTTGTAGGTGTTTATTGTTTCTACGTGTCGGAGATCCAAGGTTTCTGGTGGGCAAGGTGCAGTGCGCGAGTGCACGGGCCCCTGCTGGTTGCCATGATCAGCAGCTGACAAGTTCCCCCGTGATTCAGATTAAAGGCCCCAGGGCCTGGGTCCATCCTGGTAGTCCATTCCATTTTGTTCATTTTTGGTGGGACCACTTGTGCCATGCACACAGCTTTCAGTTCCTTGCCTTGCTGCTCTTGGCCGGGTCTCTTAACCACATCCCTGGCGTGGTTTCCTCCGCCCTTCGTGGACCACTAGGTGAACTTTCCCAGCTCGGTCCCCGAGCAGAGCGCTCTGTTCGAGCGGCGACACGCTGGGCGCGGCTCATCTCGGAGCACCGGACCATCCACGTGGCCTGTGAGTCCCTTGGCCACACGGGGAGCGATGGAAGCAGTGAGAGAAGAACGACGCCGTGGAAGTGGAGCAGTCTGAGTGTTTTTGTTTTTGGTTGGGAGGTGGAGGACGGCGTGTTGGAAGTTGGCGGGTGTCATCGATGATCACTTGAAGCTGAAGTTCTTTCAGTTCTGGGGGGAGGCTGAAGGTTTGTTTGGTATGCGCAGGGTTGTGATTGAGGGAGTTGGCCTGTTTGCCAGTCAGACCACGTGTTGAGTTGATGGGGAAGAAGAGATGTGGGGTCGACGGGGTCGCTGCGACCCAAACAACCGAGGTTCCAAGCACTTGGAACCGCTCCGGATCGAACATTGCCATGTCCTGTCAGTACCCTGAAGTGGTACGAGCATTTGGAGCTGACAAATGTTGAACCCTGAACCTTCCCGCAGGTTTTCATGTTGACCCACTCGACGGAGTGTTTGTCCTTTTTCCACCTGCAGCTTGTGCACCAGGATCATGCGCTAGAAGATCTGCAGCTCGTGCAGAGTCTTGGAGCGCCGGGGGAGGGCAAATCCTTGCCCAGTCGAGCCAGGCAAACCACTAGAGTAGGTCACCAGTGGTTGTTTCAAGACTTCCACCATCCACCGAGGTCCAAGGGCCCCGAAGGAAGCTTCTCTACATGTTTCTGCGGTGAAAGACCTTTGGGACCCGTTTCTGCACCAATGACTTGGCGAAACCCACAACACCGCATGAGATCCCGAAAGCGCACGCACCAGCGGAGCTTGGAGTTGTTCTTGCTTTAACAAGTGAGGGGCTGGAATCCTCGAGAGCGTGAACACTTCATAGGCCCCCCCCCGCGGGTTCAACTGACGTCTCTGGGACGTGTGTATTTCCGCTGGCAGGGGGCGGCTGACTGTTCCGGGCAGCACCCCCTTCATGCTCATATATATTTTCTTACCTTTTTCGGTCGGATATCCCCCGCTTCACCCCCGCCCTGCTAGCTTTCGTCACCAACCCTCGGCCTCAAGTTGCTGGATGAGAAGAGCTACAGTTGCAGTGAAGCTACCGGGTCTGCGAGTGAGAGATTTGTCAGAGAAACCAACTTTGCATGACGTTTTGTTCAAGGAAAGCACATGAGATCCCATGCATGGTTGTGGGTGGGGTGGGTCATGGGGTGGACCGGGGTGCAGCTCATGACTCCTCCCACACATGAGAACACTCACGCTTTGGAGGGTCTCCTGCCCTGAAGCCCAGGAAGATGGTCCAGATGCTGAAGCCGATTTGCCCCGAATTGGGGATCTCGAGAGGTTTCAAGAAGCCGGGTTTTCGACAAGATGTCGATGCCTCCCAGGTCTGAGGACACCAGATTGGCTGTGGGGAAGGTAGGCACCAGGATGAGCCCAATGAATTAATTAAGGCTGTAGAAGCGCTGGAGGATTTCATGCTGTTTCATGCTCCATGGTGGTGCTTCCACATTTTCAAGGCAAGTTTCGGTCACAGACATGGTGACACTTTGCTGATTTAGACAGTCCTATTGGCAGTTTTGCGATGAATAAGCGGTGATGTAAGAAGATGGGGCTCCCCCCCGGCACGCCAGGCACGCGGCTCCCCTCTCTCTTTGGTGGCCATGTAGGGATCTATCCGAATCTATCCGTTGTCCTGTCCTTGATTCAGGTGTTTGAGTTTTCGGAGGCCGATGGAAGCGAAAGCCATGCTGCCAGATGGGCGGAAATAGCAGGGCCAATGATGAATATGGACCCCGCCACAGAGGTGGGGTGAATAGATACATTTTATTGAAGGATCTGACCGGTGCCGTCGCAAATCCTCCGAAGAGCGAGGAGAAGAACTCCCCGAAGAACTCCCCGAAGAACTCCCCTGTTTTCCACGTTTCCCTTTTTTTTGGGCAAAGGTCGGATCAGCCCAGCCGGGGCATGTCAGACGGCCACGAATGGCTGCCCGTGGATTTAAATTTAACATTTAAAGGTTTGATGTCTTTAAGTTCCAAGCATTCGAACTGAATGCTTGGGGTAGTAAGACAGGCAACAGGCCCAGATGAATCTTTGGTACAACCTTTCTTTGAATTGAATAGACGAATTGATCTTTTGTGGGCAAACCCTTCCCAAGTGGCTTCCCCTTATCCTCACATTTCATTTGGGCCTTGGCCAGGATTTGCATTTGCCCGGTGCTGTCGGGCAAGGGGCGACTTTAATTGTGGCGCACGAATCACGCCCACATGCCCCGAGCCGCCTGGTGATGATCTGTCTGCCCGACGGCGTCGGAAGTGAAGAACCGATCTCAAAACGGACCTCCTTTCTGCGTGCGGGGCAGGGCGTCAAGACTCTTGGCGGCCACGTCGCTGATTCCGCCAGATTCTCTTGGCTGGATGATGGATTATATAAATGGATTGTGGTCCTCTTTTGGCCAATGCCTTCTGGTCAGTGATCTATGACAGGTGTTTGGCTATGGGCCATCTCAAGGAATCCAGAGTCGACACTTGGATGTCCTTGGAGCACTAGGTTTCCACCTGTTCCCGTCAAAGTCAAAGTCAGACTTTGGTTCGGATTAATATATTGAAAATTATTGAAATACAATTTCCTGTACTTCCTGAATCGGAAACGGACTCTTGAATAGGAGATTGACCTTCCAATGTTTAAGGCCTCCTCTGGAGGCAGAAGGCTACCATTGCACGGGTAAAACGGGTGAAAATGCTAGTTGCCCTTTACCTGTCAACCTCATGAGGAACTGGTGGTGTTCTCACCACCTGATGGATAGGACTCCAAGCTTCAGGCTATTGAGGACTGAACCAACTGAGAAGGTTCCAGATTTCAGCACTGCAAGCCTGCAAGCCCAATCTGGGAGCCCGGAGAGTCCTGAGAGTCCTTATCTCCTTGTTTTCTTGGAAGATCTTCGGACCACTCGGCGCCAAAGATTGGATGCGAGCACCTCAAAGCTTATCCACTGTCCGTGCCGCGAAGGGGCTAAGCGCACCAGGCTGCCAGCGAACAGCTGGCCCTGGTCATGGAAGAAGCCTGCGGACATATATACAGATGTCAAGTTCTGCGCCTGGCGTTGTGGCAGTATGGCAAGGGAGCAAGTCCCACCCAGGCAGTGGATAATCTTTCCACCATTTTGGGGGATTGGCGACGCCCCACTCAAAACGACTAGGTGGACCAGGTGGACAGTTTTGTTGACCTCTATTTTCCAGCGAAACGGCTCGAGAGAAGTTGAAACTCATGGCAGTTGAGGTGGCTCCTTGGTGAGTTTGACGGCCAAGCCCCTTTGTTTTTCCCATCGCGAGCGGCAAAGCAAAACTTACCATCCCATCCCTCTCCAAATTAGAGACCACTTGGGCAACGCGGGCAACGCCAGGCTGGAAGAATGTAGGCTCGTGAGAGAGTATTTAGCTGGGTCTCCAGCGCTGGCGTCAAGGGGCGCCGGTGCACTGGACGAAGTTGGACGAAGATGCTGGGATGAGCTTCCCCAGCGTCCGGGAGTGGTTTTCATGATGTTTGCTGGTTGGGTTCCATGGTGACGGAGGGGTCGTCCATGAACATCAGCAAGGTGCAGGCGCGCGATGGGTTGATGAAATGGTACACTCCCCGAGATAGTCATAGAAGTGAAACACATGGCCTCTTGGATGACTATGTTTCCTCCACAAACCGGTGGCGAACTCCACTTCCAAGATCATATGAGTGTATGTCCCCTCTCAAATTCGATTGGTCACCTTGCTCAGCGAACGTGGAAGACGCACCATCCCAGCCTTTTTCAGAGGAAAACGCAGCGGGCCACCAGGGGGAGCAATGAGGAAGCGTCCAAGCGGCGTGGTCTCTCAACCTTCGAGTCTTGAGGAGTTGGTGCTTTCAAGTGGGCATTGGATCACTGCACGTGGCCCCCCATGCGATGTCCCCAAAATTTCCCAACCATGCCAAAGCTGGAGGTGTGACATGTTGAAAGTGGGAGGCCACTCCGGAGTCCTAAATACATCCCTTATACTTTTATAAGACAGAAACTTTTGGTTGTCGGCGGGGTTGTTGGCGCGTGGAGCGCTGGCCCCAAAATTCACGCGCACAGCAGGAAGACATGGCAGTGAACAACTGCTGCAGTGTTTCCTCCTTCCCTCCGCTTCACATCATTCAAGCGAAGGTCTTGGACTTCCAGTCGCGAATTCGTTTTTGGTGATGAAAAGATTCGGAACTGGTTTGCTCATTACATGTCACGCCTCCCAAAGGTCCAGATTGGGGTGAGGCGGTTGGTGAAGCTTCGCTCCGACCCTGAGTGAAGGGGGAGGGGGCCAATTCGGCCAATACGAGCATTTTCGAGGACCGTTTCAAAGGTGAAGAAGGAAGTGAAACTGTGGGCGGAAGGGTCCGATGGGTGCCTGGGTGCCTGGGTTCCTGGTCGTCTGGTCTTTTGTTTTGGGGGCTCATTGTGGCGGAAGGGGGCAGCTTTGACCCTCGGCCTGGGGTCTTAGAGCAATTGGATTGGTGGCTTGAAGCTCCATTTCCAAGGCTGGCCTCCATTTCGTTTCGACTGACGCGAATTGAAGTCAACACGTGCATATACATACATACCTACATACCTACGTACATACATACATACGTACGTACGTACATACATATACATATTCAATCATTCAAGGTAGGCAGGGTCGGTGATGAGGAATTATTTGGGAAGCTTCAAGTCAACGTCTCCCCGCTGTTTGAATGCTCAAGCCAAACGGGGGAGACCCCCCTGAGGAGCAGAGTCACTGCTGGTCCCTCAGGTTAGATTTTTCTTCAGTTTCGTTGCTGCCATGTCTGCTGATGATGCCCAGACGCGCCGTGCTGTCGAGCAGGCCAAGCTCGATAGGTGGCGCGCGGCACATCATATCGAGGCAGCTTCTGACCTGGCCTTCTACTTCCTGACGTATGAGGAGGCCTTGTTGGAGGGGCGCGCCATTGCAGACGGCTGGGGGCAAGCCCGTCGCGAAGTTGAGATTGGGGCAGGGGCTTTGGTCCGTGACTTGTTCCGCCGTGAGCAGGTCTCGCAGGCGGCTCCTCGCCCTACTACCTCACCGACTTTGACATCGCGACCTACACCCTCATTCGCGGGGCCCGTCCGGCCTAGCGCCCGGGGCCACCAGTCGGGTGGCTCGGAGGGGGGCGCCGTCTCTTTCCTGCCGCAGCTCATGGCGATCCTCCTTGCGATCCAGCCGCCCCCTGCCGACCGCTTCGTGGAGTTCACAGCCAACTTTGAGGCTCGGCTCAAGGGGATCTTGCAAGCGGGCGCTCCACACCTGGCAGGAGGCTCACTTCTTCCGGGGCCACCCAGCCTGACAAGCACTTGTTGGCGACCTTTATTCGCCAGCATGCAGCGCCCACCCGGGCCTTCACGTCGTTGGGTTGGTTGGTCCCCAACCTGCGCCTTCCCCTTGACATGTCTGAGGTGACGAAGCCGCGTTCCGGGCTTGGTGCGCGGCTGGGCCAGGGGCAGGCTCAAGCTGCCACGCTGGAACCTTCTATGGTGCTGCACCTATTGGGCACGTTGGAGCTGACAATTGCTGATCCACATTGGCCATTGATCTTTTGTGCCTACGCGATGTGCTTCGGAGTCGTCCGGCACGCGCACCTCCAAAGCAGCTACCTTGTAGGCGGCAATGGCGGCATCCTGGTATTTTGGTGTACCAAGGGCAAGACTGGGAGCCGTGGTGGTTTTGCATGGAGCGTGCCACGCTACTGCGGCACATTAGATCTTTTGCAAGTCTTGGGCAGCCACCTCAACAAGGTCCGACCCCACTCGGGACCGGCTTTTCGCCGATGGCATTGGCTTGGGTTTGATTCTGCGACAGCCCAACCTGTGGACACGCCTCAGTTCATCCGTATTTTGCGCCCTCACTTCAGCGCCGCTATGGATACTACCAGTTTGTCCTCGTACTCCTTCCGCAGGGTTTTGCCTACGCTTGCTGGCTATGTGGAGCTGTCGGAGACCGAAAAGTTAGCTCTCGGTCAATGGACCGACCAGTCGTCCAAGACCACCGCCACTACGCCCCTACGTTACGACTCGCAGGGTTGCACTTTTTCCATGACCTCCACATGGCTCTCTGGCACGAACTTCCTGTGGGGTACATTGATCCTCAAGGCCATCGTCGAGCTTATGTTGTCCATATTCGTCCTGAGATTTTTGAGGTTTGGTCACACCATGAGGCCAAAATTGAACAACTGGAGTTGTTGACAGTTTATATGGGCTAGCGTACAATGCTTCATCTACTAGAGGGATGCATGGTATTTGGTTCGTCGACAACATTGCAGCCCTTATGTCCCTCATTCGGGGGCGGAGCAACAATGAAGAGTTGGATTCCAGGCCGGAGCTATACATGGTTTGCTCTTTGCCCTTCGTCGTGCTTGCTA